TTGAATATCGACCCAGTGTAGTATTGGGAGGTTTGCTTGGAGTGATCTTCTGTTTTCACCTTTGACTTTATCTTTGCTTGTGAGCTGTAGTGTTGAAGGTCTAAGTTTTTGGATATGAGAAGCATCGCCTTTCTCAAAGAATCAGCCTGGTTTCATTATTACTTGTTCTGAGAGGGAATCCAAAATAGTTTTCAAAGCAACCTAATTACCCTCAATGTTTTTTTGAATCAAGTAGCATTGTCCCTAGATGACTTACATGGAAACCCGAGACCAAGAAAAGTAAGAACAGATGTGAAGGAACTTACTACAGAAGACCATTTACACCAGGATGGCCACTGTTTTGTTTTGTTTTGTTTTGTTTTGTTTTGTTTTGTTTGTTTTTGGCTTTTGTATTTCAAACACGTGCAGTAGTTCTGTCCTAGGTTAACTCCCAGCCTTCTTTATCTGTAGTACAGGAGTAGGGAGCGTCTGACTCCGGGTTGTATATGGTCCACCCAAGAAATCAGTTGGTCTGGCCCTGCCAAGGCATTCGGGGTGAGTTAATTGAATGTTCGACTAAATATAGCAGGCTGATTTTTTAGGTTGATAATTTTGTGTGGCCCCTGGATGATCCAAAGGGCCCTTGGCAGAAAAAAAGGCTCCCACCGCTGCTGTAGGGAGACATGCTTTTCTCATCCTGGGATACAACTGTTCTTCCCTCTAGAGTTTTTAATGCCTAAAATATAATAACAACAAATGTAAATACTATTAATAATAGCAAACATCTGGATCCTGTTTACACTGGGTCAGACACTGCTCCAAATTCTCTCCATACACTGGCTAAACGAAGTCTCACACCAACCCTGTGAGCTAGGTAGTATTAGTATGTTTACATGAGGAAACAGGCAATTGCCTAATAAAGTAATGATGGGCATTTTGGCTTTAAAGAAAAGTTTCTGCTTAGGTCCACTAAAACCCAAGAGAAGCTCCTGCCAAATAAACAGGTTCCGAAACATTTTGGAGCTTTTAAATCGTCTCTTGTATTCCCTGTGACAAGAGCTCTACCTTCAATGAACTGTTGGAAGAAAGCATAGTTGCATGTTATTGACTCTGTCTGCCATGAGAACATAATTTCTCAAAACTTCTAGTGATACCTCCTGGAACTCTGGATTTATAGCATGTTAGCAATTCCTCGCTGAAATAGAACTTCAATACCTGTCTCTACCCCCTCAGACAAACAAGGTGGAGGGAGCAGATGTGATGTGCGGGAAGTCACACAGGAAACTAATGGCAGAGCAGGCCTTATCTCCTTGACTTCCAATGTCTAATTTAGATATTTTATTTTTTAAACTTTTTGTTCATTTATTTTTAAATAAATAGTTCATTGATTTTTAGGGAGAGAGGGAAGGAGAGAAACATTGATGTGAGAATGCAACATGAATTGGCTGCCTCCTGCATGCCATGCCCCCCAATGGGGGATTGAGCCTCTAATCTGGACATGTGCCCTGATCAGGATTCAAACCAGCAATCCTTTGGTAAACAGAGCAACACCCAACCAACTGAGCCACTCCAGCCAGGCCTAGATCTTCACTTTTTATTTTTTTATTATTTTATTTTATTTTTTAAAAATATATTTTATTGATATTTTACAGAGAGTAAGGGAGAGAGAGAGAGAGCCAGAAACGTCAATGAGAGAGAAACATCGACCAGCCGCCTCCTGCACACCCCCTACTGGGGATGTGCCCGCAGACATCGTACATGCCCCTGACCGGAATCGAACCCGGGACCTTTCAGTCCGCAGACCGACGCTCTACCACTGAGCCAAATCGGTTTCAGCTAGATCTTCACTTTTTAAAATCTTTGTACTTTGCTGCCTTGTTAAACAATTTAAAAACCTATGAAGTGTGCTGTTCAGCTGGAGTAGGAAAAAATTCTAATGGTTAAATAAATCCAATAGATTAATATATGAATGAATCTAATTTATGAATTCCAGTGGATGGAAGCTTTGATTCACCTTTACTTGGAAAAGACAGCCAAAGTGAAGAGAAATAAGAGCAGGCCAATACATGGCACAATAGTTACAGTGAAATAACTTGGGGGAGAGGAGTGAAACAACGTTTAAAATATTCAGATAAGCTGAAACCAATTTGGCTCAGTGGATAGAGCATCGGCCTGCAGACTGAAAGGTCCCAGGTTTGATTCCAGTCAAGGACATGTACCTTGGTTGCGGGCGCATCCCAACCAAGAGGCAAGAGGCAGTTGATCGATGATTCTCTCTCATCGATGTTTCTAACTCTCTATCCCTCTCTCTTCCTCTCTGTAAAAAAATCAATAAAATATATATTTTTAGAAATATTCAGATAAGAGTGTGATAAGGACCAGGGAATGTTAAGTCTTAACCCCAGTAAGGTAGGTCTTGGTGTAGGTTCTCTATTCTAGTGCTTGAGCTTGGGCAGCACCAGGCCTGTAAATGTGTCGTGATATCAGTTTGCAAATGTTCTGGTTGAAGCTGCACCAGATGGGATTCAGTGACTCCAATTCAGCTGACACTGAATGAATTCTTGTCACATATTTGACCCTGGCACGGACGGGCCACAGCCCTTGCCTTATGAAAGAGAGTTGGAAGTAGCCATGAGAGGAAAGTCACTGTACGAGGGACTAACCACTCTCATGGAGATAAGGAAAATGAAACAGGTGTGTCTCATGGAGATGCAGGAAGATGAAATAAATGTATAAAGAAGGTGTATAAAGAAACTGGCCAAGGAGTGGAGGGAAGGCTTCCTGGAGGAGGTAGCATTTTCAAGAATATGGAGGTAGCCATCCATGAGAAGTAGAATATTGGCAAAGAGGAACGCTAGAGGGAAGGCAAGCATTCATTCCCTTTCGGATCTGGGGTTTGGTGGAAGTGAAAGGATTAGACAGGCTTTTTTTTTTTTTTTTTTTATCCTCCGGTGGGAATTAAAGCTCAAGTCCAATCTAGTTTGCACAGGGTAAGGGAGGATGCCGGGGTTCAGGGCTATTTTATAACCAGTGGTCCTGGTGGCTGGCCTTGGGACTCGGGATAAGGTGACTCTCTCTTACCTGGTAGCTTCCTGGCGGCTTTACTCAACTTCCTGCCCTTCGGTCTGCAGAGGCTGCCTCCAAGTTAGTGGTTCTCTGTTTTCGAAAATGGTGGGCCAAGCAAGGGTGCATTTCTGAGTGGCAGGTCTAAAGGCGTTTGTTTGGGTGAGCTCAGGTGCAAATGGCTTTGACCCTTAAGTCCCTTTCAGGCCCATCCCTGTCTCTACTACCCAAGAGATAAAGAGTGGCATTATTTCTCTCAACAAAGGCTAGATTCCCCGTAAGTCCCAACCCCGCCTGCCTCTCCTCTCTCATGTTTCCTCAGCAATGCCGTGTTTTGCCTCTTCTTGTCTTCTGGCATCTGGCACTCACCGTTTCAGTCACTGGACCTGAGAGCCATGAGAACAGGGCCCTGTCTGTTTTGTTCACTATTACTTTTTCCAGTGTACACAAGTAGGCACTCCATAAATACGAAAGGAATCATTGAAGAAACTGTGCCGGCATTTCTAGGCATACTGTGCGTAATTGTGGTTTCACATTCTGGCAGCTTTGAAAGCCCTGGGTACCTCATTTTGTGAGCCGGTTCAGGTTTAAAGACGCTCAGTGAACCCATGCTGTCACAATTGTCCATTTAGGATCTGAGATGCCTTTCTCTTTGAGCCCAGGTTTCCCCTCGGTGTCAGCTGCCACCACTCTCAGATGAAGGCCAGCTTCCTCACGGGCCTGGCTCAGGCTCCTGGGCTTACGCCTGGGCAGCCCGTGTGCCCAGGATCTCCTTTCTAGGGGGTGGCTGGGCCCAGCTGCCCTGGATCTCCATGCCTCAGGCTTCTGGGAGGCATGGAAAGTAGAATCAAGGGACTAGTTTTAGGGCAGGGTAAGTCCTCTTGTCCCTCAGAGTCTCTTCCCCCCGCCTGTCAATCAGGGATTTTGTGGATGTAGTGGGCACTTTGTACATTGTCAAGTACAAACCAACTACCAGGTCTTACTCTTCATATCCTGGCAGTTCATGGGAAAATGGAGAAGAACATAATAACTGGCCAGTCGGAGGTTTTAATTAGCCTTCTCCTTTGCCCAGGAGGCTCACAGTCAAGGAATGAGGCTGATTATAAAAATATTTTATTTCAAACAAAGACATAGGAACAATAGCAGTAGCTAACATTTGAGTGCTGTACTAAGAACTTCCTTTTCCTCACTCGAGGATATGTTTTCATTGATATTTTAGAGAGGAAGGGAAAGGGATGGGGGAAAGAGAGAGAGAGAAAACTTTCCTATGTGCCCTGATCCGGGGATAGAACCCACAACCTAGGTAGGTGCCCTGACCGGAAATCAAACCCTCAACCTTTTTGGTGTATGGGATAATGTTCTAACCAACAGAGCCATTGGCAAGGGCCAGAACACTTTCTCATGAGTCCTGTTTCATCTTCAAGTAATCGTACGATTAGTCTTCCAGGCCAGTTTTACTGTTGAGGTAGGTAGTTCAGTGGCTTCCTCAGAGCCACATGACAAAAGACTGAAGGAGCTTCGAACCTTCCTAAATGTCTTACTTATGACATTTCATTATCATTATAACTATTCCTATACTAAGCGGCAGTCTGACCATGGAGCGCAGACTCTTACTCCTGCCTTTCCATGATCTCGCAGGGCAGGCTCAGAGATGGTGTTCTGTGTTTTGTGCTTTAAGGATCTGTTGTGACTTGAGTCCACTTGTGACTTGAGTCCACATGCACACTGAGCTCACACCTGTGGCTGTGGTTTCCCTCTTCCGGAAGGCGGTCTTGAAGGCCCAGTGATAGCCTGGCTGGGGTGCGATGGGGAGCATGGGGCTGTCTTCTGGGAGCCTTTCCAACGCTGTGACACTACGACATGGAGGCACCACAGGTGAAGTGCCACCACAGACTACTGACACAGGGTCTGTTTGTCTGCGCAGGTACCATCTCCACCCCACACTCAAGTGACACAAAATGCCCTTCAATGGTGGCGAGAAGCGGTGTGTGGGTGAGGACCAGGCGAGCGACTCAGATTCTTCCCGGTTTTCCGAAAGCATGGCCTCGCTCAGTGACTACGAGTGCTCCAGGCAGAGCTTCACAAGCGACTCCTCCAGCAAGTCCAGCTCTCCTGCCTGTAAGCTGACGGGGCAGAGGCCAGGGCAGAGGCCAGGGAAGAGGCCGGAGCTGGGGAGGGTCCAGACCCGCGTGCTGGATTCCAACACTAAGAAATGCCTGAGATCAGAGGGCACACTTCCCTTCTTTCTAGATCTACCGGAATAGCACTGCAGGGGCCTTGTGCAGACTCTCAGGAATAAATAGCCACGCAAGTTTACAACCTGCCCATTTTTTTTTTTTTTCATTGCTGATTCTGGTCTGCTTTGGTTCAGGTTTAAAGACGCACAGTGAACCCGTACTAGCACAATTGTTTGACTATAAATCCACCCCACCTGTCTTTCTCAGAAGTGGAAAAACAGTCCTTGACGTGACTTCTTGGACCATATTCAAGGATAAATTCATATTGGTCTTTTCTGATCATTTCTGACTTACATGAAAGGAAAGTTGCCCCAATTCAAGGGTCATGGAGGAAGTGAAATTTCAAAAACTATTGTGCAAATCCCCCAGAAAAGTGCCCATGAGGAGAATTACTACACTAGGAGGGTGAGAAAGCAGTAAAAGAGTGGCCCCACCCATGGGCACAGACAATAGGGTGGTGAAACCCTGGGGTGGGGGGGGGCCTAGGAGGGGCCAATAGGAGAAAAAGGGAACATATATAATACTTTTAACAATAAAGATTTTTTAAAAAGAAAAGAAAAACAAGTAGCCCTGCTGAAGGGAAACATCTTTTTCCTCCCCTTTTTTTGTGTGTGGAAGCTAGAGATGTATAAACAGATGAGTTTGTCTTTTTTTTTTTTTTAATTTTAATTGGCATTTTGTATAGAAAATAGAACACTTTAGCTGACAAAGCAAATGCAGAAAAAAACAACTAATGTTTAATATGATCAGATGCCCACTTCAAAAATAATTGATTCATTTGTATTTATTTTCAATTTGTGCATTCTCATTTTTAAAAATTGGGGAGTTGATAAGGATAGAGAAAGAAAACAGTGCCTATGATATCATTTGAAGATGACACTGGCAGTGCTCAGTCATATCTTCATTCTTCACATAGACATTTCCTTTTGAATTATAACTAAAGCATTTACTCATACTACTATAATTTTAAAACATTGTTTTTATGACTACTTGCTACTTTATCAAGTGAATATGATTATATTTATTTAGTCATTGATTTATCATTGGACATTTAGTTTTTTGTTGTCTTATTGTTTTGTTTTGTTGTTACAGTGTTTTATGAATATCTTGGTGGTGCATAAAGCCTTTTCAGGAATTCTTTTGATATAATTGGATTATTGGGCCAAAGGGTACAGACATTTTTAAGGAGATTCCTTTTTTTTTTTTTTTTTTTTTTTTAATCCTCACCCGAGGATATTTTTCCATTGACTTTTAGAGAGAGTGGAAGAGAGAGGGAAAGACAGAGAGAAATGTCTATGTGAGAGAAACACATCCATTGGTTGCTTCCTGCATGCTCTTTGAGCAGGACCCGGGCCAGAGAGGAGCCTGCAAGCAATGTACGTGCCTTTGACTGGAACAGAACCCTGGTCCTTTGGTTAGCAAGCCGATGCTCTAACCATTTAGCCAAAACAGCTAGGGCTTAAAGAGATTTCTTACTGGGACAGAGAATTGGCAAAAGAATTGGCAAAAGAAGCAGCCACCCTGTTTTCTGTGCTTTTTCATATTCTTTATATCATACTAAATGCAGGATTGATGCCTCTAAAAAGGTACCTAGGAATTCTGAAGAAGGTTTTTACTAATTCTGTATATCACCATTCCCTCTTCCCCCTCCTTATCCTTTTCTTCTTAATATTATCTTAGGTAGCAAAATATTGCTAGTCAGCACTGTTATGTGAGGTAATGATTTTTAGCTAATAGGAGTTAAGAGTTCCAACAATGAGTTCATAAGGGCATGATTTATAAGAGTAATTTTTAAAGAACAATCTTTAGAAATAAATAGATTGATTATTTAGTACTTCTTTCTGAGAAGTATAATACATTAAGAAGCTTATTAGATTTATTTTAATTATCTGCATTTGTTGAGTCCTTACTGAGTTCTTTTTTTACAAAATTACCTTATTTAATCATCCCAGATCAGCCCTATGAGGAGGTCAGTTAGGCCCCAGTGAAGTCAAATGGTAACTACCAATCGGCAAAACTTAGAACCAAACCTAAACATTTTGCTATACTGCCTATATTTTTAGAAATTACAGTTTTATAAAATTATTTCATATTAAGTCTGCTTCAATTAATGAGAGTTATGAATTACAAAATAAAAAGTAGTCATCAATTTCCTATATATTATATGTAATAAATACATATGTAATAGGCATAAACATGATATGATTTAATTTAAAATTTAACTTAGCCTATGTTAATAAGATCATCTCAAAAACATTGAAAACTTAATTAATGCAGTATCTGAAGCTATCAAAGGAGTTCTTAAATTTTTTAAGTCTTAAATATTAAGGAGGGGAATCCACCTCCTTTAGTATATAGTCTCCTTATTTACAAAACCCTGAAAATATATGTTGGAATAACTTACACTCCAGTTGCATCAGGAAGCTTCGCTGGATGACAACTTCTCTTCCACAACATTCACTGGTTTTTGCTTTTCTCTCAGCAGCAAGCCCTCCCAGGGTTGTGACGTTTGATGAAGTGATGGGTGCAGCAAGGAACTTAGAAAACATGACTCTTGTTCACGAAATTGCTGTAAATGAGAACTTTCAGTTGAAAAAGGATGCCCTCCCTGAGAACAGGTAACCTAGAGATGTTTATTGTGCATAAATTGTACTGCAGATTGTGTGTGTGTGTGTGTGTGTGTGTGTGTGTGTGTGTGTGTGTGTGTGCGCGTGCATATTCACACTGATTCCTGGAAATCCTTGTGCAAGGTCGAATGGGAGTAAACATTATCTGGTTCTCTAACAAAGCCCTATACTTGAATCTAAAACCATTCCTCTGGGGTATGTGTTACCCATAATCTTTAGAACTCAGCTTTTATGTCACTTTCTGGGTGAAGCTTTTCCTGACTTTCCTGATATCCCTTTGTTAAAGTCTCCTGTAGCTCCCTCTGCCTCCCCGTTGTTAAGATACCTTATAATGCCAAAACCGGTATGGCTCAGTGGATAGAGCATCGGTCTGCGGACTGGAGGGGTCTGTGTTTGATTCCGGTCAAGGGCATGTACATTGGTTGTGGGCACATCCCCGGTGTGGGGTGTGCATGAGGCAGCTGGTCGGTGTTTCTCTCTCATCGATATATCTCTCTCATCGATGTTTCTAGCTCTCTATTTCCTCTCTGTAAAAAAATCAATAAAATATATTTAAAAAAAGATACCTTATAATATTATGTTCAATGCCTGTCTTTCCCTCTGTTCCCAAAGCACCATTAATGGAATTACTGTGTCTATATTGTTTTCTCTATTACCTAGCAGAGTATCTGGCATATAATAGATGCACAAGAAATATATGCAGATCAACTTATTAAAAACTGATATTTACATTATGAAAGATAAAGAAAAGCAGTTGAGTTGCCAAAGTGCTACAAAGAGACTACCCAGAAGCCTCTGATGAGGGAATCACTGCTGCTTTAGGCCCCCTCTTTAACCTCACGGCCAGCCACCATCACTTACGGACACTCTTATCCCCTCCCTCGCCCTCTCTGGCTTCAGTGGCGGGGCCAACGAGGAGAAAGGCTTGTGGCAATGACTACAGATAAATCATATATTTTAAAAATATATATATTTTATTGATTTTTTACAGAGAGGAAGGGAGAGAGGAAGTTAGAAGCATTGATGAGAGAGGAACATTGATCAGCTACCCCCTGCACCTCCACCACTGGGGATTTGCCTACAACCGAGGTACATGACCTTGACTGGAATCAAACCCGGGACCCTTCAGTCCACAGGCCGACGCTCTATCCACTGAGCCAAACCGGTTTCGGCGATAAATCATCCCTAGAGGCCAAATTGGCTCATGGGTAATGGCACTGAGCCTTCAACCTCACAGTGCCATTTATAAACCCAGAGGCATTCTCTCTAACACTTAAGCCAACTTATAATAATTTATTCCATTCAGAATTTTGTTTGTTTGTTTTAAAGTAGGACAGTAGTAAACAAATTTTTAAAATATAAAATGTGGATCTTAGTCATTCTGCTCCTGGGGATGTTGTTCCTAGTAATCTTTTATTTATTTATTTATTTATTTATTTATTTATTATTTATTTATTTATTTATTTATTTATTTATTTATATTTTATTGATTTTTACAGAGAGGAAGAGAGAGGGATAGAGAGTTTGAAACATCGATGAGAGAGAATCATTGATCAGCTGCCTTTTGCATACCCCCTACTGGGGATGTGCCCGCGACCAAAGTACATGCCCTTGACCTGAATCGAACCTGGGACCTTTCAGTGCGCAGGCTGACGCTCTATCCACTGAGCCAAACCGGTTTCAGCCCTAGTAATTCTTAATATAGTTTAAGATAACTGGCCAAAGTAGGTGTGTCTGTTTGGTTTTCTATGGTACCTGCACTTCATCATGATTGTTTATACCAGCTCTAGGCGAGGGGGGGCAGAGACTGGTAAGTAATTCCAGGGCAGGGAAATGTGTGCTGTTGCAAAGCTGTGTCGTTCAGGAGGGATGTGCGCTTTAGTGGGCACCTGTTTTAGGGCATTGACATAAGGGTGAAGCAAGGCGGCCATCTATTCTATTGTGAACTTTTCCTAGGAAGCTCCTATTTCAGCAGTTTGGGCTGGCTAACTTTAAATGGGGCATGGAAGCTGGAATTGGCAGGCTTTCAAATATAGGTCTCCTTGGGGCCAATCTGTTCTGTTCTGTGCCACGAAATCTCAGCTGTTGAGGAAAGAGCAACCTTGCCATCTCATCCCAAAAATCTAGAACAAGTCTAAAAATCTGTGTAAAAGAATAGCTAGGTAAATTCTGAGAATTTTATTAGAATTTTATGAACTTACTGAATGCTATAAGGAAGCATTTTAAAAGTTTAGGAGAGCCCTGACCGGTTTGGCTCAGTGGATAAAGCATCGTCCTGCGGACTCAAGGGTCCCAAATTCGATTCCAGTCAAGAGCATGTACCTTGGTTTCGGTCATATCCCCAGTAGGGGATGTGCAAGAGGCAGGTGATAGATGTTTCTAACTCTGTCCCTCTCCCTTCCTTTCTATAAAAAAATAAATAAAATATATTTTTAAAAAGTTTAGGAGAAACACAACAGAATATTCAATGAAACAAATATATAATATTGTACATCCTAGGTGCTCTATGTTAAAACAATACATAAAAAATGGAAAGAGTGGGATGATGGCCAATTTTTATTGTCTGTTTTTCTCCATTTTCTAAGATTTCTACCATGAATATATTCCTTTTATAAACAGGGAAAACAATGCTCGTTTTAAAAAATAGTCCATTTCATTTCTTTAGCTTGGCCAGCCGAGTGAAGCGCATCGTCCACCAGGCCTACTGGGATGTCTTGGAGTCAGAACTGAATGCTGACCCTCCTGAGTATGACCACGCCATCAAATTGTTTGAAGAAATCAGAGAGGCAGGTGGACATTGTCTGTATTAATTAGTAATTGTTCCCCCCTCCCCGCAAGACTATTTTCATGTACTTCAAAGAGTATTAGAGACTCTTTTTGAAAAACTAAGCAAGTTCAGTCACTGGGAGGGATTTTCCTGCACCTCCTAGAGTAGGGTGGAGGCTGGGAAAATAGGGCAGTAGAGAGAACTCGGGGTGATGCTTAGCGCACAGAATAGTGGTTAAGACCACAGACTCTGGACTTAGATAGTCCTGCTTTGGTGACGGCCTCTCCCTCTTTATGATTTACTTACTGAGTTCGTACAAGGTAGTTGTAGGGACTAAATAAAGTGACAGTTACAGTTTTAGCCAACATTAACCAGACACTTGCTCTGTGCCAAGCAGTAGACTGTCCATTTATCCTTACCATAACACTGTGAGGTAGTTACACCTGTCATTTCATGTAAAGAAGCCAAGTTCCAGCACTTACCCAGGGCCACACAGCTTTGAGGGGTGGAAACCGAGGCACTTTGGCTCATAGGGCTCTGCTCATGTGCTATGTGTATAAGTACCATGACTGCTATGTACTGAATATATTGTACTAATGGAGTCCATGGGAGGATTCCATTTGCTCTTCGTTAATGGATTCTTTTGGAGCCACGATCTGCAACTTGTTCTTTCTTTGCACAGATTATCTATAACTCTTTGGAAGTTATTTCAGCAACATTGCTTCCTTACTAGTTGCTTTCATTCTGAGAGAATCAGTAATTTCCCACAAAAAGCAGGGGCAGGGAAGCTGGGGGCATGCAGGGGAGGAGTAGAGACTTTAATTCAGAAACTAGATCTTTCTTTTTAGGGTTGAGACACCGGAGTGCTGTGATCTACCACCCAGTTCCTATAAACTTCTGTAGCATCCAGGGCATTAAAATACGGGGTGGGAGCTTGGTCATCTAGACATGGAGATAAAAAGTGGCAACCTTTACTCATGTAATGCTGCTCCTAATTTTTCTTTCCTTTCCCCTTGTAGATTCTTCTCTCCTTTCTGATTCCTGGTAGTGGAAACCGGCTTCGCAACCAGATCTGTGAAGTTTTGGACACGGACCTCATTAGGCAGCAGGCTGAGCATGGCGCTGTTGACATCCAAGGCTTGGCCAACTATATCATCAGCACAATGGGCAAGCTGTGCGCTCCCGTGCGAGATGACGATATCAGAAAGCTAAAGGCCACTGGCAACATCGTGGAGCTGCTGAGGTTAGCACTTGTGCTGCTTGCCTTTTCTTAGAGTACCTCTGAGAGGACGTGTGGGGTTTGAGGGACACAGTAATAATTGGCCTCTTGGGACTCCTTGGCCGTAGGAAAACAAACAAACAAGCATTTAAGTGAGTCACTTGCTGTGTCCATAGAGTTTTCAGGTAGAATGATCTCACAGGCTTGTTAGTTGGCATGTGCTGGGCAACAGGGATGCAGTGATGAAAAAGACAGAGACAGTCCCTGACCCCAGGGAGTTTACAGACAAGTGGGGAGATAGACCTTGAATAAGGAATGCAATTGTGATAAGTGTTGTGGAAGGGGAAGTAGAGGGTTCCTAGAGACTCCAGCAGGGGGACCTAGTCAAGATCTAGAAAGGTCTCTTTATTAGGGTAAGGCTAGCTGTCATAACACATAACCATGAATTCTCAATGACTTAACCAATAAAAATTTGTTTCTCCTTCATGTCACAATCCAGGCCAGGGCTTTTTTGGTCAGGAAACTTTCCACATGCCATTCAGTGACTCAGGTTCCTTCTTGCATTGGCTCCACCTTTCAGAGTCCTTTACATTCAGCTGGAAAACGGGGAGGAGATCATGGGGAAAGAATACCCAATGTTCAACCACCTCAGCCCACAGTGACACCTTCTAGTACAGACTGACTAGTATCATGGTCCCACCTCGATTAAAGGAGGCCTGAGAAATGTGGTTGCCATCTAGGAACGCATTTCCCAGCCACAAATCCACACTGTGGATCTAACCATCCCTGCCACAGCTTCCCAAAGGAAGTGAGAATCTAATCTGCAAAGCCAGATTAGATTCTCACTTCCTTTGTGAGCCCAGAGGAATGAGGAGTCTGCATCATTTTTTGTGATTGAAGGGAACTTTTCTTTGTGTGTGTGTGAATATGGCCACATTGATATGTGAGTTTTAGGTTGTATTATTGGAAAGGTAGAAGAAGGGAAAGTGCATGTAGCAGGTAACTTACTTTATGACCTTGGGTGGTAAGCTCTCAAAGTCACTTTTCCCACCTGTAAAATGGGTTTTATGTATCCTTGGAGTTGTGCTCAGCTCTGGCAAATTGCAATTCTTCAGATGTAGGATCTTCATTTCTAGTTGTCTTATCACGTGTAATAGCAAATCTGTGGCGTTCACCTGGGTCATTTATTGAGCACCCACTGGGTGCCACTGTCCCCTACATTTTACATTCATTATCTCATTGACTCTTCACAACATGCCTTTAAGGTTGACCTTGTCCTGTCCTTTCAAAGGTGAGGAAACAGGCTCAAAGAGATTAACCTGGGCCTGGCATAGAGCTGGATTTGAGCACCAGGCTGCCCAACTTTAAAAGGAACGATTTTCCCCCCTATACCTTATTCCCCCATCCTTTACTTTCTTTTTTTTTTCTCAATCCCTTAGGAATAAAAACCATATACATTATTTTTAGACTCCTTAACATTTCAGGGGCTTTCAAGTGAAAATTGCTTCTTGAACCCTTTTTGTCTCATTGTTAAGACTCATTGTATACAATTCTTAGCGTCTGTTAGTTGAAGACTGGATGCAATGGCTCAGCTGGAAGTATATTTGCTAAAGCAAATACTCTTTGAGAGCTGTTGAGAATACATTTGGAATGTATTCTATGAAAATGACTTTGCCAAATAGCAGTTGGACTTTAAAAACCATTTTGGGGATGTTTATTTTTTTTCCAGACTGGATAATAGGTAAAAGTTAATGAATTTTGGATTAATTTCTTAATCACATCGCTAAATATTTTAACTCTAAAATTTTTAGGCAAATATTCCATGTCCTGGACCTCATGAATATGGATATGGCCAATTTTCTCATTAGGAGTTTTAGACCACATTTTCAACGCCAATTGGTGGATTATGAGAGAACCAAGTTCCAGGAAATTTTAGAAGAAACTCCAAGTAAGTACAAGATATTGTATGTTCATATTGAAATTAAGTGAAAATATGATATTTTATTTTTTACATCTTAAGAAATGTTACTAAATAATTTTGGCCTTTCTGTTCAACTTTTTTTTTTTTACTTTTAAATTTAACATCACAAATATATAGCTGTGTACTATGTCCCAGGAACTGTGCCAGCACTATTCATTTCTTGATGCATGGAAAACAATATTTATTCGGCACCTGCTGTATCCCGGACACTGCTTAGATGCTGTGGGCATTGCAGTGAACAAAACAATAAAGTTGTGACCACCAAGGAGCAGACATTCTAGTAGGCAAACTTATATTATCAGCTGTGATAAGTGATATGAAGAAAAATAAGATAAAAGGGCAGACAGGAATGGTGCAGGAACAAAAGTGGGGAGTGTTTGTTGTTTTTTAGATGAAGTGGACTGGGAAGGTCTCTCTCTCTCACAAGTAGCATTTCAACAGAGTTTTGCAAAGGAATGAGTAAGAGGACATATAGACGTGAAGGAAGAATATTCCAGCCAGAAGTAGCTGCAAACACAAAGGTCTTGAAGCAGAAATGTGTTTGTGACGTTGGACAAACATAGGTAGACAGCGTGGCTGGCATAGAGTAGGCAAGGAGAGAGTGGCTGGAGATGAGGCCAAGAAGTAGACAGGTCACATTGAGCCTTATTAGGAAACGAGAGGAATTTAGATTTCATGCCAAGAGTGATGGGAAGTCCTTGGAGAGTTTGAGCAGAGAAATAACATCTAATTTTCATTTTTAAAGAATACTCTGGCTCTTGGGTAAAGAAGCTATCTAATAGTAGGATAATATGCAAATTGGTTGGGGTGCTGTCATGAAATGGCCAATCAGCAGGCTGTGTCCCTGTCCCCTTGTGCCAGCCCGGGAGTCCAGAGAGGCCCCTCTCCTGTGGGCCCAAATGGGGGTCCACAGGTGCATGGAGGTCTGCAGGCCTCTGCTGAGGCCTAACCTGGGAATCTACAGGCCTCTCCCTGCTCCAACCTACCTCTTGGGGGCAATCAATCGAGGAGCCCCGGAATGGTGGGGAGGGCCTACCTCTTTGGGGCAATGGATCGTGGGGCTCCCACACTGTGACAGGGCATAGGCCAGGCTGGGGGACCCCCCTCCACCCTGAGTGCATGAGTTTCATGCACTAGGCCACAAGTAGATTCCATGGAGCAATGGCACCATTGGGGAAGCCAGGTACCATTTATGGGGTATTGCAGTTGCTCAGGCAAGAAATGATGGTGGCCTGGTCAGGTGGTAGTGGTGGAAGTAGTAAGAAGAAGTAATATTCTGGATGTATTTTGGAATGGAGTAACAAGATTTCCTGAAAGTTGGATGAGGGGAAAAAGAGAGGAGTTGAGGATGACTCTAAGGTCACACCTGAGCACCTGGGTGAAGAGTGATACCTGTTAGTGAGATGGGGGAGAAAAAGGGAAAGAAGATTGGGGGAAGCTATAGAATCACATTTAGTTTTAGATAATATAATCACTAATATCTTGTTGGACATCAACGTGAGGATGTCAAGTGGGCTTTTAGATATGAGCCTACAGTATTGGAGAATGGGAATATATATTTGGGAACCTGCATATTTATGGTAGATGAAGCCACGGAACTAGATAACATGTATAAAAGCTTACCACATTCTAAGCTCTTTTCCTGTGAAACTAATTAATCTTCACAGTAACTTTAGGAAATCACTCCTCATTTTATGGATGAAGAAACTGAGGCACAGGGAGGTTAAATCACTTGCTTCCATCATACAGCTTGTATGTTATAGAGCTGGGACTCGCCTAGGCAGTCTGGCTCCACGGCCCATGCTCTTATCCACAATATTACACTGGGTGTGATGACCTAGGGAATGAGTGTAGATACAGAAGGGGTCTGACCTAGGACTCTAGAGCATTTGGAGCTGAAGAGAAGGATCTAGTAATTGAAACTGTGCAGGAGTAATCAGAATTAAAGAATACCAGTAGAGACTGGTGTCCCGTAAGACACGTGAAGAAAGTGTTCAGAAGAGAAAGAAGTTAGCAACTGTGATAAGTGTTGTTAAGTAGTCAAGAAAGATGGGAGCCACGGCTTGACCACTGGATATGACTACATGAGGATCCTTGGTACCTTGATAACATTGATGGGAGCAGTCAGTGAACTAGTGGGCCTTAAAACTGGTCAAGAAAGAATGGGAGTCAAGGAGGTATTACCTCATTGAACCCACACAATTACTCAGGGAGGTAGATACTGTTATATCCTCATTTCACAGGCGAGAGACGGGTTAACTGGTTCTCTCATTGGCAAACCCTTGACACCATTCTCTGGATTTTTATTCTCCACATTATTAGGCTGAGTTAGGGCATCCACCCACCTCATTCCACCCCTGCGGACTGAGCTTTTCTGTCAAGATAGTCAATATGATAGCATGTACACAAAGCCAGGCAGGAGTCACTTGTAAACATCCAGGAAAGAGGGCATGAGTCACGGAAGATCACAGGAGGAACAGTCGATGAGCTGGGCACTTCTGCATGGCAACAAGGAGACTCAGGTGGGCCATGAGCTCCGCCCTATTGATAGTCACTCAGGGATTTTGGTTAAGCTCTGTAGGGCCGAGCAGGACCAATGGGAGGGAAGTAGCAGCCAGCCAGTTTTGACTTTAGTAGCAGCTAGAACTGTTTTAATATTGGAATGGGCGGCTCTTTTATAATAGGAGTCTATATTAGCTATGTTTCATTTGAGCACTTATTAAGTACCAAGTCCTTATATTACATTTGCCAAACATTACATTTATTAACCCATTAAAACTCATAATAGCTGATACTATTATCACTCACTGTTTACAAAGGAAGAAATTGAGGTTAAGATGCTTAACCCTAGGTGACTGCTAGTAAATGGTAAAGCCTGGATAACCTAGTTATGTTTCTGCCCCAGAACATGTGCATTCAACCACTGCAACACTGCCTCTCTCCCAGCACGGTATTGAATGTCTTTGGGGGCCTGTCAGAGGGAGCTGTGGCATTAGGGAGTATATAAGACTAGATGACTTCTCAAGATCCTTCTACATCAAAAAGGCTATGACTTCAGGGCTATGTTGTTTTAGTTTCAAAGCAAGAGAAGGATTGAGGGAACTAGAACCCCACATAGAACCTGAATCTGAATCTGAGCAATAGTTAGTTCTTAGCAGTGCTTTCCTGAGACTTCGTGGTTGATTTTGTTTGTGTGCCTGTGTATGTGTATATGTACACATATGTACAAATGTCTCATATTTTGAATAAAAATAGCTTGGAATTTTGAGCAAATTTCTTAATATAGGGTTAAATTACGGTTTTGTTCATCTTAAATGATTTACTTCTCTCCTTAAAACCTAGGCTTAGTGACCTGTAATTCACTTGCACCTTTCACATTGACTTGGATATTTTCAGGGATTTAAGAATAGAATAAATCCTGCTGTGCATATAGGTCATTATTGCCCAGGCTCCAGATATGTTCCCAGACAAGTCAAGAGTCCAGGAGCGGAGTGTATGTCGGGTGTTATTTATATCCTTAAGTGACTGCCAAAAGTCGGCCACTGTGCCCTGGTATCAAAATAAGAGCCTCACAGTATCACACAGAAAGATAAAAGTGTTGGATTTTTGTGTGTACATGATTTTTATGAAATAATTATTGGAAAATTCATATAGAGAAATACTAAGTTTCTGAATTGACTCCAGAATTTTTTTTATTTCACTGACAGAGAGATTTTATATGTATGTATCTGCCTTACTTAAAAATATATCCACAAGATTTCATTTATATGAGGAATCTAAGAAAAAGTAAAGTAAAAGAGCAAACCAAACAGAAACAAACTCATAGGTATAGAGAACATTCTGAAATCAATACAAATATTTTTTTAAAGAGGGGAAGGACTACGAAGTATAAATTGGGCTCTTGCCAGTTGGTTGGGGCATTGTCCTGTACACCAAAAGGTTGTGCATTCAATTCCTGGTCAGGGCACATTCCTAGGTTTTGGGTTTGATCCCTGATCAGGGTGCATACAAGAGTCAACTGAGAATTCTCCTCTCTCTCTCTCTCTCTCTCTCTCTCTCTCTCTCTCTCTCTCTCTCTCTCTCTCTCTCTCTCCTTTCCTCTCTAAAATCAATAAAAACATATCCTCAGGTGAGGATTAAAAAAGAGAAGTACAAATTGGCAGTTATAAGTAGTCATGGGCATGTAAAGTATAGCATAGGGAATATAGCTAATAGTATTGTAATAACTACCACATGGGGCAAAAGGAGGTTTACAGTTGTTCGTATGGAAAATAATATAATGATTAAAAGTAATAATATAAAGAATGAACTGTGTTTCATGTACTCACAACTGTAATCTTACTTTTGCCTCACCCTATATGTATGGTGTCAGATGGGTACTAAATTTAATGGGATGATCACATCATAAGTTATATAAATATCTAAACACTACATTGTAAAAATAGTTCATATGTGATTTTATTTTTATAAAACTGTAGACAAAGTGAATTGATGTGACAGAAAACAGATCAGTCTGTTTGGGGGTAGTGAGGGGAGATGGGAGGGAGGGAGAACTGGTGATTAGAAAGACCACTGGGAATCTTTTTGGGGTGATGCATAGATTCATTATCTTAACTGTGGTCATGGTTGTGTATATGTATACATATATCAAAACATAAAATTGTGCACTTTAAATATGTGCAGTTTATTGTATGTCAATTATGTATGTATTGTATGTAAAAATATTTAAAATAAAAGAAAGAATGGGATAGGATAAAAATGAAATAAAATACACCCAAGAAGGCTTTTGGCAATGATTGGGTGATGTATTAAGCATCAAAAAGATAATCAGATTAGATCCAAAAACTAAATTACCTGTGGAAAGAGTAATAAATTACCCCTGAGGGGGCCTTACCACAGGTAATTTTTAAGATACTCATAAAGAAAAAGGTCTTACTTATTAGATATTTTACATTTGATAAAATGTTCTCATGAACTTCAAGTGCTTTATAAAAAATTCTATGAGAAATATTTTTTTAAAATACATTATTATACTGCATTATGGTTGTATTTGCCTGGCATACAGGACATTCAGGATATATTTATTTTTAAAATGAGCAAAGCAATGCTTAGCTATGACCTGCCCAAAGCTAGAGTCACACAGCAAATAAATATTGGCGCTAGGACTGGAAGCCAGGTCTCCCATAGCCAAGCCAAGATTAAACCAAGCTGTTGCTTTGGCAACTTGATTATTCAGTTTTGTGTTAGATCAGCTGGGCTATATTGCAAGCAGCAGAAACCAGCTGTGGCTGAATTAACAAAAAAGGAAGTGAATGGAAGGATGGAGGCTAAAGCGAAAATACTTACCCTGTCCAGTGGGTGTGGCTCAGTGGTTGAGCATCAACTTATGAACCAGGAGGTCATAGTTACATTCTTAGTTGGGGCACATGCCTGGGTTGCAGGCTCAATCCCCAGTGTGGGGCACGCAGGAGGCAGCTGACCAATAATTTTCTCTCATTATTTATGTTTCTACTAGAGGCCTGGTGCACAAAATTCATGCACTGAGGGGGGGAGTCCTTCAGCCTGGCCTGCATCCTCTTGCAGTCTGGGACTCCTCTGGGGAAGTCCACCTGCTGGCTGTGGCTGGATGGCCTTCTGCTGCTGCACAGCCTGCTGATTGAGCTTCAGCAGCTGCTGCACATGCATGGGCTGGGCCACTCGATGGTGTTTGCAGGACAGACCCTGAGTTCCTTGTGCTTCCCTGAGTCACTGAGTTGTTCAGACTGACTACCTTCTACAGAGAATGGCACTGGGATCAGGCCTAAACCAGCAGTCGGACATCCCCTGAGGAATGTAGCAGTGTGCCAAGCAGCAGGTGGCCAGGGAGGAGCTTGAATCAGGATTGAGTGCTTGCTCTCATCCTGGCTCACTGGTCCTGCTGCTACCACTCAGTAGTGCTGCCGTGGAGTTGGGAGAGGCTCCCACTGTGGCAGCTGCATTCGCCAGCTGAGAGCTCGGCTTCTGGCTGAGCGGTGCTCCCTCTCTGGGAGTGCACTGACCACCAGGATGCAGCTGCTGTGTTGAGTGTCTGCCCCTGGTGGTCAGTGTGCATCATAGCGACCAGTCATTCTGTTATTAAAGGTCACTTAGACTTTTATTATATAGATATCTATTTCACTCTCCCTTCCTCTCTGAAATCAATAAAAATAAATAAATAAATAAATACATACCCTGAGCAAGGCCAGAAACCAAGAGTGTCAGGAATCTGGGTTGGAAAAAAAAAAAAAACAACAACAACAAAGGAAGACTCCTGGGCTCCATAGACAGGTCATCCTTGAAAGCTGTAGTCACCATTCAGAGTCTAGGTAAAAGTCTGATGGGCATCTAGCTCAGTCCAACTGCAGGTCAAGGGCCTCTCAATTCATAATCACAAAAGAAAGCATGGATCAAGAGACAATGGTTTCTCAAAGAAAATGATTACCAAAAGAAGTGAGATGAGGTGTTGCTAGGCATGAAAGAACAAATATCATGGATAAGTGCTCTTAGGTCTCCACTGCTCCTGGCAAATTCTCAGGTAAACTCACCTATAAAGCCATTGCCTGCTCTTGTGTTTCTGTCTCCGAGTAGACTAGGTGCTTCTTGAGTGCAGGGACTGTATTGACTCACCTCTGATTCTCCAGCACCGGTGCAATGCCTGGCGTGTAAAGGTGCTCAGTCACCATTGGTTAAATGAGTGGATAGAGAGGCTTTTATTATTGTCCACATGGAAGACCGAGGTATAAATGCCTCATGGAGTTGACCTTGCTTTTACAGCCACATACAGCATTCAGGCTACTAGCTTATGAAGTGAAGACTCAGCCGATCCCTTCGGAAAAACCTGAGGTTTTACTCTGAACTCGTGTTCTTTGTGCTTTACTAGTTGTGCTCAATTCTGGCTACATAATAGGATCACTCGGGATGTTTGAACAGAGATGCCTGTGCCCTGTCTCAGATTGATTAAATCAGAATCTCCAGGAGCTGTGCCCAGGATCATTTTTTTCTCTTTGTAAAGCTCCCCAGATGATTCTAAAATCAGCAAGGATGGAGAACCACTATGCTACACTCTTGCTTTTGTTTAAACTAACTAAATAGCCTTTTAAAGGTGTCAGCTGTAAATGATTACGCCTGCAGTATAAATGCTTATTGCGGCCACATTGTAATTATATCCATGATGATTTCTGCACACACTCTCTGTTGGATATCTTTTAAATAAAAGACCGCAAGTACTTTGCATCATTAGAAACAGAAATAGAAAAAACAAGAACAACCTTTGCCAACTGAGGAGAAACAAAATTGTGAAATTCTGGGGCCGGTGTTCTCTTAGTGTGGCAAACAGAGCTGCTGATAAATTACTCCTATTTAAGTGCTGGGTCTGAGGAAGAATTTCAGGGTGACTATTCTTTAGTTTGTTCTCTGGATTATTATTATTTTTTAATATGCACTTGTTGTCAGGCTGTATTTTTAAGCAATTGCCATCTGATGAATTCTACTAAATACATCTATATTATAAAGAGGCAATATACAAATTAGGCCGGGACTCCCTAACGGGTCACGACCAGACAGGAGGGAGGAGGTTGCATGCGCAGGTGAGGCCCAGAGCGGAAACAGAGACAGAGGCATGTCTGCCTGAGCCTGCACAGTGGCTTGCATGGCCGGGGGGACACTGCAAGTCAGGTGTGGGTCCCAGCCCCCTGCAGGGTGGCTCATCGCATGCTGGGCTCTAGTAATTTTATAAGAAATGAGGATGTGAAGAAAAGGAAACCCTCCTGCACTGCTGGTGGGAATGCAGTCTGGTGCAACCACTGTGGAATTTCCTCAAAAAATAAAAAAATGGAACTCCCATTTGACCCAGTGATCCCACTTCTAGAAATATATCCTCAGAAATCAGAAATACTCATCAGAAAGAAAATATGCACTCCGATGAACATAGGAGTTCAATTTATAGTAGCTAAGATTTGGAAGCAGCTCAAGTGCCCATCAGCAGATGAGTGGGTAAAAAAGCTGTGGTACAACTACACAATGAAATACTACACAGCTGTAAAAAAAGAAAGAACCATACAATTCGCAACAGCATGGATGGACCTGGAGAGTATTATGCTAAGTGAACTAAGCCAGTCAGAGAAAGATTTAAGTATCTCCTGATTTCACTCATATATGGAATCTAATGTATAGAATAAACTGATAAATAAAATAGAACCAGAGTCGTAGAAGCGTGGAACAGACTGATGAATTTCAGAGGGAAGGGAAGTGGGATGGGAGTGAAGTGATTAACAGGGGAACTTATATAGATATATGCATAACCCATGGACATAGACAATAGAGTGGTTTAGGCCTGGGAGGGGCTAGGACAGGGTAATACTTTCAACAGTAAACATTAATGAGAGAGGGGGGGGTAGTATTTAAAAAGCAACTTGTTTCCAGTGGGAAACCTTAGGACTGGGTGGAAGTAAAATAAAGTGTACACAGCAGCATGCATGTGCACTTTGGGAAAGACAGCTCTAATCAGACACTGAGAGGTGTTCAGGACCCCAACATGTTTAATAATCAATGCTTTTATTTAAAACACCTTCTCTGCACAAAACGCAAGGTCGTGTGTGAGCTGGTAAGTCTGCTCATCGAGTGCCATGTGCTACCACTCTCTTTCCCTTAATTCTTTATGAACCAGCAGTAACAGATTTGCTTGTAGCATCCAGAATGTGCCATATTCTCTCACTTTTTTGGGTTTTGTATGGACCATTCTCCTGGCATGGGGTGACAGCCCTTTCCTCTGTCTGCTGTGTGTCTTCCAGTGTCACTGCTCTTTCTCTCAGTCTCTGCTCTGGACATCCTCTGCTCCCTCCATCCCCGCATTCCTGCCTTCTAGTCTTTATATTCTGCTGTGATTATTGGTGTGCAGGTCTGTCTCCCCTCTGGAATGTAAGCTCCTTGAGGGCCATGACTGTCTTCATCTGTGCCAGCACCTAACAAGCATCTGTCTGAAGAATGCACGAATGCAGCGGTCCATCAGCTGTAGGACAAATGTGTGGCCTTTTCACTTGTAGGTGCTCTGGATAAAACTACCAAGTGGATAAAAGAATCCATAAATGAAGAATTGCTTTCTGTTTCTGAGACCGGTTTAACTCCTGGGGCCGGAACCAGCTCCAAGCCACACCTGAGCCCTACACTGGTGCTAAATAACAGTTATCTGAAACTGTTGCAGTGGGATTACCAGAAAAAAGAATTTCCAGAGGTGAGTGATTTTTTTTCTTCCCTCAAGTTTTCCATTATTTTCATTCCATTATAACTATGAATCAGCTAGTCTGTCTGTGTTGCCAGATGGTTTAATGACTTCACTGAAATCAGATAGAAACGGGAGTGTGGATGGAATATTGCTTATTTTACACTTTCATGGTATTGAACTTCCCTTTCTACTTTTCCATTTTAAATAAATATGCTAGACACTGATCACGGATGAAGCACGTCTTCAGGAACTGACAGAAAAGCTGAATCAGTTGAAAATTATTGCCTGCCTGTCCCTCATTACCAACAATATGTTGGGTGCTATCACAGAAGGCCTCCCTGAGCTGGCAGACCGGTTAAAGAGGGTCTCGGCTGTTCTGCTCGAAGGCATGAATAAAGAGTAAGTGCCACGTGTTTTCCTCTGTTCCCCTTGTGTTAGGCTCTGCATGCATTTCAGAGAACGTGAGTAACCTTGGACGTTTGGATGTGATGTTCAGAACTGTGCTTTAGAGAAGCTTATCTCATACCTTTTTCTAGAATTTCTTTTTTTTTTAATTTAAATATTTTTATTGATTTCAGAGAGGAAGGGAGAGGGAGAGAGATAGAAACATCAATGGTGAGAGAGAATCACTGATTGGCTGCCTCCTACACACCCCCTGTTAGGGATCCAGTCTGCAACCCGGGCATTACGCCCTGACCGGGAACTGAACTGTGATCTCCTGGTTTTAGAGGTCAATGCTCAATCACTGAGCCACGCCTGCCGGGCTGGAATTTCTTTTAATATCTCTGGAGACTTAGGTGTCCTTTCATCGGAAGGGAGAGGTCTTTTCCATAACAAGTGCCAGGGTGAGTGTAGTATTTCCACTGAGGATGGGTGTGTGCAAAAGCCCTTCTTTGACGGTGCTGTGGAGAAAAAACACACACACAAAATCCCACAAACCAAAGCCAGAAATCCAACTAGCTCAGTCTTCAGGATGCCCCATCAAAGAGGCTTTCCAATTAAGTAGTTCTGACACCAGCATTTTTCTGTAATGAAATGTTTGCCAACTTTACTGATCCCACGAGCTATGAAGTCTTCAGGAGTAGTGACCTCTCTGTCCTTGAGAGATGTCACACCAGTTCACTGAAGGTTTTGTTTTTGTGAAATTCATTTCCTAGAATCATACCTTCATTGAATACTAGAATCCCATTGAGATTTTGCAATTAGGTCATCCTGCTGGGAATCTTGTCTAAGCCAGAAAACTGCTAATCTTACTCAGTGGCCACCTTTCCATGGGTCCTGTATGGGTTAAGCACCTCCTGCTGGTTGCTATCCCTTTAAGGTGTTTTCAGGGACACGGACTCTCTTCCTGTCATTGGAGGGAGATGCACCTATTTCCATATTCCTGCGCATTACTCAAAGGGCACATAAATTACCTGAGAAAATCCTAGAATATTAAGGGCCAAAAGGATCCTGAGTGGTTACAAAATCCAACGTTCTCATTTTGAACAGAAGCCCAAGGTTTTGCGTTGGGCTGCACAGCGAGAAAAGGGCAAAGCAAGGTCCGAGCCCTGGTCCGACTGGCTGCCTCCTGCACACCCCCTACTGAGGATCAAGCCTGCACCCTGAACATGTCCCCTGATGGGAATCAAACTGACCTCCTGGTTCATGGGTCAACACTCAACCACACTGGCCAGGCTCTTATTGTTGTTAATGATGGCAATAATGATAAACAGTCTTTTTTTTTCTTCTTATTATTAAGCATTTACTATGTGCCTGACAGTTTGCCAAGAACTAATAAAATGTCATAGCAAGTTTAGCGTTAGAGTCAGGATTTGAACCCAGGTCTGTGTGACACAACAGCTTCTGCTATAACCACATTACATTGCCTCCAATCATCCTGTAATTCCTGTTTTGAACAGCATTATTTTAAAGATCCTTTCTGGTTAGTGAGATGCAGTTTTCAGTCATTATTCCCCAATAGTGTAGACCCAACAAGTGCACTTTCTAGCTACCTTTTTCCTTACCTATTAAATAACCAACTGCTAATTACTTTGTACAATTTTCTGAACTCTGTATTATTGATCAGTTGCTTGAAAGTAGCAATGACAAGGAGCTTCTTATCTTGGGTCATGATAGGTCAAGAGTTTTAGGTAATTTGCCTTTTATGGAATTGACCACTAAATATCTTCATTTCTTGTTTTGATTGATGTTACAGCTCAGGCATAGCTAAAGGAATTGATTTTACCTCATTTTCCAAGCTTAAAAAAAATTATGAATGAAATCCACTCAGACCAAAGATTTATTTTAAGAATTGGTGTTTTCTTTCCTTTTCTAATAGCTCTCTGCATAAAAATGGGATTATTTTCAGGGACCACATTTTTCTGCCTGTCCTTTCCCATATAAACACTATGTAGAGAATTAAGTGGTTTTAAGCATGTAAAATCTTAACTGCAAAGTGTTGGTGATTGGGAGGAGTTACTATAGTCTGAGTTCATTTTAATACAGATAACTGTTGTTTGTATAAGAAAAAAATGGGTAAATGTTTAAAATAAGTTGGTATATTTTATTTTCATTGATTTCAGAGAGGAAGGGAGAGATAAAAACAACAATAATGAGAGAGAATTATTGTTTGGCTGCCTCCTGCATGTCCCACACAGGGGATCTTGCCCATAACAAGGGCATGTGCCCTAATAGGGAATCTAACTGTGGTCTCCTAGTTCATAGCTCAACTACTGAGTAACGCCGGCCCGGCATGTTGGTATATTTTAAAAAACAACAACAATAAACTGGGGGACAAAAATTGTTTCTGATGGGGTTTTGTTTTCTGTTTTGTAGGACCTTTAACTTGAAGGAAGTCCTGAATTCTGTTGGTGTTCAGACTTGTGCTGAGGTTAACAAGACCCTGGTGGAGAGAGGCCTACCCACTTTAAATGCAGAGGTTCAAGCTAATCTTATAGGTCAATTTTCAAACATTGAAAAGGAGGACAATCCTATCCGGTCTTTGATTGGTGAGTCCTCATATTTTTATCGTTTTCTTCTTCAGTTCCAATCTGCTTTAATTTGCTGGTTTTGACTAATGTTAACTGTCAGTCAACATTTGGTTTTAAACAATCTACCTGCTCCTTTTGGAGAATAAATATTGAAAATATGATGTCAGTCAACATTTGGTTTTAAACAATCTACCTGCTCCTTTTGGAGAATAAATATTGAAAATATGAAGATAGTATTAATATCTTAAAAGGTTTGGGACTTGCTGCTGATTCTGTGTATATATGTAGTGGAGTAAAGGATGTTTCAGAGCCTTCTATCTTACTATGCAAACAGTAGATTTTTACGAGGAAAATAACAAAATGCTGCCAAGTAATGTTAAAATCTAGATCCATATGAAAGTAGACATCAGTAGTACGTGAGCTAGCCTCAGCTAACCAAAGCCCCTTTCTTGGTCAGGCATAAGGAGACAAAGAAGGAGAACACTATGGAACCGGGAGGCATAATGGGCGGGCTTTTGTTGTACTTGCTTGCTAAGAACATGAATATCTGGGTGTCAAGCTGTGTTGGTAAGATGGGAAAGTGGAGGATGTATCAAGTAGGACATTTTCTGTTGCTTGTAACTAAGAACCTAGCTGAAGCAAAAAGAGAATGTATTTTCTCATGTAACTGAAAAGACGAGAGGTAGGGCTGTCTGCAGGTGCAGCTTAACCAGAGCTCAAACTGTGTCCCCAGCACTGATTTCCCCATTTCCAGCCCTCGGCACTGCCTTCCTCGGGGCTGGCTGCCTCACAGGTCGTCTCTTCCCACACAGTGAGACAGCTTCAGCTCAAGCCTATATCTTCTGGTGTTTATTTCTATTTTATTTATTTATTTTTGTTAATCTTTACCCAAGGATATCTTTGCCATTGCTTTTTAGAGAAAGTGGAAGATGGGAAGTTGGGGGCAGGGGAGAAGAGATGGAGAGGGAGAAAAACATCAGTGGGAGAGAGATACATCAATTGGTTGCCTTCCACACCTCCCCTCCCATCTGGGGCCTGGTTTGGAACCTGCAACCCAGGTACATGCCCTTGACTGGGAATCGAACCCGCAACCCTTTGGTGCATGGGCTGACAACCCTTTGGTACTGAGCCACACCTGCCAGGACTCTTCCCCTGTTTAAAACAAGGAGCTGGCTTCCCTGGCAGCTCATTGGCTCCAGTTGGCCTGACTGTGGGTCATGTCCCGTTCTTGAGTCTTGGTGGCCAGAGGGGAAGGAACTTAGGGTCCAAGACACGTGTTCACCATGGAGCCAAGGTGAGTCACTTTTGCTATAACACATGGTCTGAGACTAGGGGACAGATGTTTTTCCCCAAACAAAATCGAGTGCTGTGGTCAAAAGAAGAGGGAGCAGGTGATGGGACACAAAGCAAGTGTCTACTATCAAGAGTGAGAAATAAAGACTAGAAGGAAGAAGGGAGTGTAGCATAGAACACAACTACATTCTGGGACTAATCTGCAAGTTTTTTTAAGTACAACATTGTCTTCCCTAAGAATACAGATACTTGTTATTATTTATTTGAGGCTCTCAAATAGTTTCTCTCATCCTTATCCCTGGAGACACAGAATGCTTGAGATCTAGGCCACACAGGCCACTTAAAAGCTCGAGGCCTCAGCCCTCCCCAGAAGAGAGCAGTCTGGTGTGCAGCACCGCAGGCTGCTGCAGGGGGCAGCTGGTCACAGTAACAAGCACAGCATGACCACAGCCACCTGTGGCTGAGCCCTCTGTTGCATAACCTTCACTGGTGATGAGTGTGTCCGTACAGCCCGTTATCTCTAGCTGAAGAGCTGATACCTGGGAGATGGTGTTCCTCAGAGGAAGAGGGGCAGACACTGTAGTCTCTGCCACATGTCGCTTGTCCCCCACAGGTGTGCAGGCCTCAGGATGGGGCGCACGTTTGTACACTGCTGTATCCTCATCCAATGCTGCGCCCATAGATGACACTTAATAAATATTATGGAAAGGGCGAAGGCAGCGGAGACTTGGTGGTTAAGCGACTCTCCCCCAAGGTCACATAACTAGCCGGTTGCAGAGTAGGGAGTCTTGCTGAGCCTGTGAAACGCCAGAGCTCATGCTCTTTACTGCTCTGGTTGGAGCCGGAGCCCTGCTGCTTGTTGGCAAGGTGGCCGGAGCATCCAAGTGTCCTCTGTGCCCTTGCTTCATGTAAGGGAGGTGCTCACAATTCCATAAGAGAGGAGGAAGCTGGTAAAGCAACTTTTTTTCTACCTCTCTCCCCAGTCCAACTTTCCTGTTCTTTTAAAAATTTAAGCGTTTTTTAAACCTCATTCAAAGTATTGTTGCCTAGCAACTTGAATGACTCACTTGAGCGACTCTAGAAGCCAAGAGCACGCCTTTGGCAGGGAGTCGGTTTGGCTGCTTCTAACTGGACAAATGCTTCTGTCATTTTAGTCTTGGCCTAAAAACTGACTCATCCACTGTGGAGACAGAGCCACTTCTCAGCATAGTAACAGTTTTGAAAGAGTTTTATCTTTTAAGCAATCTTGAGGGAAACTGTTTGGACCATATCTGTGATGACAGTAGACCTGGGCTCTGGAGAGTCAGGCAACCAGTCTAACAGGAACTTAGTACACGATTGATTCTTCATGTCCTGCCCACAGAGGAGTTAGGAGAAATACGGCCTGAGAGGACATAAAAGGGCTTGACCAGCATTAGCCATGGTTCTCCTTCCCTGTGCACAGAACCCACCGTGGTCTGCCTTCTTTTGTTCCTGGTTGGTGTGCTGTTTATTTACAAGGCAATTACAACTCCTACTGTGTTCTTAGACTTTTAAAAAGAAAATTAGAAAAGCTGTCTTTCAAGCTAATGTTTAAAAAATGCATACCAAAAACCAGGTATATGTGGCTTATCTACCGTGTATTATTTGCATGGGCTGTGCATACATGAGTCATTTCTTCTTGTGACAAATTATGGGAAAGGCTCAAGTTACCTTTGACTGCCTTTTCCAGCCCCCTTTCCTCCCTGACTCCCCCTTTTTTTTCAGTTTGGCATTGATCTTTATAGACCCTTTTTATTCCATTCTTTCTTAAATTCAGTCAGCATTTGTGACACGCCTGCCACATGCTAGACTAGGGTATCCTATGTAATCAAAGCCCAGGTGGTGTCACGCCCTCATGCAACGTCATCACAAGGTGGCTGCCACAAGGTTCTGCGCAGCGGAGGCAGAACCCAGCAGCCGCTCCACATAGTGAAGCTTAGGGGTCCCACAGCTCTGGACAGCTCAGAGGAGGCCAGTCCCAGCATCTCCGCCACCTCATGCAGAAGAGGTGCATCCTGGTAGAGGAGACGGCTCACTGCAGGGGAAGGCAGTTGTGGGCAATCAGGCCAGCAGGGGAGCAGTTAGGGGGTGATCAGGCTGGCAGGGGAAGGCAGTTAGGTGATCAGACTGGCAAGGGAGCAGTTAGGAATCAATCAGGCCTGCAGAAGAGCGGTTAGGGGGCAATCAGGCAGGCAAGCGGTTAGGAGCCAGCAGTCCTAGATTGTGAGAGGGATCCCAGATTGGAGAGGGTGTAGGCCAGGCTGAGGGACACCTCTCCCATGCAAAAATGTCATGCACCGGGCCTCTAGTAAAGATAAAGAGTAGCCCTCACCCTCAGCTCACCTAGGCAGAGAGACACACACATTCTCGGATAACAATAATATGGTATGATAGTCTGACAGATGTGAGGGAAAGCCACAGAAGGAAATAACTTGAGGCCTGGCACTGAAGGATGCTTTTGACTTGGGGCAGAGATGAGATGAGATGGAAGAACATTCTAGTAAGAGGAAGCAATTCTGGCTAAGACATGGACATGGGCTATTGGGAACTTTGAGTTCTAGGACAGATCTGACTAGAATGTGTGCCTGTTGGGAGAAGCATTCAGAGAGAGGAATTTCATTAATACCAGTTGTCTGCATTTGATGGCATTTATTCTCTTTTGTGCGCCTTCTTTGTGAGATTTCTGTTTCCAAGGCCAAAGAAAGGCCTGGGAGCAGCATGAGCGGTGGCAGGTCTGGTTTGTCCAGTGCTTCTACAGCCCCATGTACCTATGCACTTGCTTGCTTTTGTGAAGTAGTCTCATATGTAGATCGTTGAAGCAGTGGGACACAAAGGGTGAAGAAGATGGCAAATTGGAGTGCCCGTTGGGGTGACACTTCTCCAGTGCCTTTAGATCGTTGGGCACGTGTTGGGTGAACATACGATTTTTTTGTCCAAACCAGGACACTTTTGAGAGTGCTCTTTTTAATTATGCCAAGACAGCAGGTGGAACCTTCAACGGCTCTGGGAAAACCTGGATGTGTGGTCACCCTTGCCCTGTGGTAATTGGGCCCCCAAATTAACCAGATCTCTAGATTCTTCAAGAGGAACCAGAAATTTGGGTTTCTATATGAATTCCTCTTACCTTAAGTGTTTTATTTTTTTTAAAGCCCTATGTGGACCAAACTGGCAGTGCCAGTTTATAAAGTCTGTTTCAGTGTACATAACTAAAGTGACAAGCATTACATATTGAGTTTTTGTAAAATATGCCCCGCCTTACCCCAGAAGTGTGCCTCATTTTAATCAATTAGTTATTGCCACACAAGTCACCCTCAGACTCCATAACTTAATTAGAAAAAAGTAAATATGTAGTATTGCTCACCAGTCTCTTTGGGGCAACGGGGTAGTTCTTTTGGTTTTGCTGGACTCACACATGCATCCATGGTCAGCTGTGGCTTGGACAGGTAGCCCTGCTGATGTTGGCTGGGCTCTCTCAAGTGTTTGAGAGTTGGTTGGCTATAGGCTGATCTAGAAGCACTGGTCTTTCATCAGGCCCAGGCTTGTTCACCTGGTAGGTAGAGAAAGCAGATGCAAACCTTGCCTCTTCAGGCCTCTGCGTAGAACTAATCTACCAGCACTTATGCTGTGTTCTGTATTGACCAAAGGAATTTATAAGGCCAGCTACAATTCAAAACCGGGGGGAACAGACTCCAGCCTGTAATGGGAAGAGTTGCAAAGCTACCTTGTAAAGGGCATGGATATAAGGAGGGTAAAGAACTGGGAATGTTATTATAGCCCACCTACCGTAATTACTATTCTCATGTTTTTAAAAGTATGTGCTTTAGTAACGGGACAGATAAAGGTATCTTCTTTTCTCCCAGATAAACGAATCCAGCTATACTTGAAGAGCCTCCTTGGTCTCCCAAACCCTCAGAAATGCCTGCCTCCCATGCCCGGGGGCCTTGCTGTCATTCAGCAGGAGTTGGAAGCGCTAGGTTGTCAATACGCTAACATTGTGAATCTCAACAAACAAGTGTATGGACCATTTTATGCAAATATACTCCGAAAGCTGCTCTTTGGCGAGGAAGCCACAGGGAAGACAGATGCTTCATCTTCTGCTAACTAAAGAGGAACTGGCGGCCGGACAAGAGATGGAAAACGCATGCTTCAGTATGGAGTCCGTTTCCATCAGAGGCTTTGTGGACGCGGCACATTCTCAGTCCTGTTGGCGGTGCAGTGTTAGCCCAATCCTGTGTAACCCAGTAACGTTAGAATGGCAGGAGACACGCACCTCATACTCACCCTACTCATGCATCATTTTCAAGTTCAAAAGAGAGTTTTTTCATGATCAGAAAGCAATTTGTCATTAATTATATTACCCACCTAATACTTGTGTTTTCTTAAACATTTATATCTTGCTTATTCATTCAACCTTTAAGGAGTTGTATTTCCTCATTTGTCACTATCAAACCTAATGATTTTAATATTGGTACAACTTAAAAGGTTGAAAGTTGTGATAATAACCAAGGGGATTGATGTTCTGAATACATGATGTAAAGTAAGCATAATTGTATTTGAAATGTACAATGAAAAAAACAATAAATCAAAAAAGACACGTACAAGGAAATTTTATTAATGTGTAATATTATAGAAACTTACATAGTAAGTCCTAAAATTCCTCAACTGTGCCAGTTCACATTTTATAATACCAATTGTCAGTATTTGTGTAGAATTTAAATTTATTAAATATATTTTAAAGCTATATGCAAATTTTAAATAAAACCTCCATTGTTCATTTAATGAAATTAGAAGCTAATCCCTTCTAAGATTTTATTCTGGAGGTTGGTTTATTCTTGCAATGTATCCTGCTCTCTGAGAGAAACAATTTTTGCACAAATCTCTTAGTGAATGTCTTTGCATTTCTCAGGCCATTGGTAAGGTTTGTATAAGATTTTAATATTTTTACATAAGGCAGGAATGGTTTGATTTGGTTTACCTATAAGAAGAAGGGAAGTTTAATAAGAAAAAGAAATGCTAGGAGATTCCCATTCTCAGTGAAGTTCATGAAAGAGGAGTTCAACTTTGGATTTTTTTAAGCACATAACTCCCTAGCAAATGCCTTCTGTGCTAATTAGATACATACCCTGCTATGACTTAGGTGGTCTTCTAAGCATCGTTATCATTTGACATTCTTGAGCATAAAACAATTTTGCCAAGTCGGCACTGGTTGTCATTAGAGAAAGCTGCTTGTCATGGAATTTGCATATTTTTTGAAGTGTTTTAGGAAACATTTCAATTTGGGTGGACTTAATCGAGAAAGCGCTTTATTTGCTAAAATACCTTTTGATGGCTTTGTTTTCTAAGGACTCAGTAAGTTGCTGGGAAAGAGCGGGTATGACGTGGAAAGTTCTTTCTTCCTCACCCCTTTTGCCTCAACACGACCTCCACCAGGATGGCGCTGCTCCTTTATCTGACAAAGTTCTAGGAAATGATTGTGTGAATAAATTATCTCCAATCTCCAATTTGGAGGGATCTGCCAAAATCTGAGGAAGTTTTGAAAGTCGTTTTTCTCTCACACAATGACCAATACAGAAATCAGCCAGTCTGTCCACTTCAGCAGGGGCTTATAAGTGGAAACCTACAGAGGAGCACAGCGCTGGTCTTACCACGCCCTCTTTCTGTACTCCCGTTCTGCCTGGGCTTTTCTATGCTTAGAAACCATAAGGTGCTGAAAATTTCGTTTTCATTTTCTCTTAAATTGAAGTTTTCAACTGCTCATTTTGGGGCATGGGCAGCAGCGAAGGTCTAATATAGCAAAGTAATGTATTGTGTGATTTTTTTGTTCTTGTTATTGCTGAGGTGAACTGTATACTTATCAGAAAGACCAGGTGCACTTTTTAATTATCAGATTGGAATCCAGCTGGTATTCTTATATACTTGATTATACTGCGATTGCCAGCAGGAAAACAATGTGCAAACATTTTTAAAAAATGCATTTTAAATGAAGGGCATTCTGCTTTTATTATTATTTTTTGCTTTTTTTTTTTTTTTTTATTAAAGTGGCAAAGTAAATCTCAATGTCTCAAGTCTGGATTTAGGCAACTACATTTATTAGGATTTTTGCATCATATCTCTTAGCATGTTGTTTATTTTGTTTTTTACCTAAATGTTTACTTCTACTATTAAGGTTTTCCTAACATGGTCTTGTTTTGTAATGTCAGATTTATTAAACACCATACATACATTTTCATTCTTCTACTGCTATGACATGTATTGTGTGCACTGTTGAATTTTAAACATTAAACATTATTTCAACATAGCTAGTGTCTGTTTGTCTTCTAAATAACCTTTGGGGAGCTCATGGCTGGAACACCATAGTCTTTTTTGTATTTGTTCTGGAGATCCTTCTGCTGATCCTCGGACCCTTACAGACACCAGATCATGTTCAGTCAGTCAGTCAGTCAGTCAACAAACACCTATGAGCATTTTGTATGTGCCAAGAAGTATCCTAGGTGTAGTGATGGATGACTAGACAGACACTCCTCAAGGAATTTAATTACTGCCCAGCAGGTGTGGCTCGGTGGTTGAGCATCGACCTATTAAGCAGGAGGTCACAGTTCAATTCCCAATCAGGGCACATACTGGGCTCTATCCCCAGCAGGGAGCATGCAGGAGGCAGCTGATCAGTGATTCTCATCATCGTTGTTTCTATCTGTCCCTCTCCCTTCCTCTTTGAAATCAATAAAAAGTATTTTTTAATTAAAAGTTTATTACTAGGAAGGATGAAATTGTGAATAATTACAATAAAGTGTAACAAGGGCTAAAAAACAGGAACACACAGTGCTAGAGGGAAAATGATCAAATTCCTGGAGACCATTCTTGAGCTATAATAGAACATGGAAGCAGGAACTCGCCACGGAGCCAAGCATCAGAAAAGCGCAACAGACCACGTGCACAGTGAATGCGATGGTGTGGAGAAGGGGTGAGCTCAGGGACCGGCGTACAGTAGAAGAGTGAAACAAGAACGGTACACAGGTTCTGGGGTGTCACACAAAAATGTGTGGGTTTTGCCCTGAGATACAGAATCACAGGTTCTGGAGTGTCATACTAAAATGGGTGGGTTTTGCCCTGAGATAAAGAATCATTGAATCTTTTGAACCAGGAGAAGGTTGCCAACAAATTACTGTTTTGGAGAGATTGCCCTAGCAAAGAATCCTTCCTGCTGGTGCTGGCATAGCCCCGTGTTGTGTGCATATGCATACATGCACTTACACATGAGCGCTGAGTACGGGTGGCAGAAGCAGGGGCTGGTTCACCGAAGCAGAAGGGGTTTACCGGATAGGTATCGAGTGCCTCACAGAATCTACTTGACCTGGGGAATCAGACTTGGGAAATGGGTAAGAACCAAGGCAATGCAAGCTGCAGGACGCCACCCAGGCTGGATTCAGGGTGTGGCTTCAGAGACTGCATTCTCAACTGTCCTTGCTGCTGTGCCCCAGTTGCTTAAGTTTTAGCATCCCGCATATCAACATTCAGGTGGAAGGATCTAAGTCAGGTGCCCAGACTCTGATTTGCAGGGGATGAAACAAGGTAATAGCTGATCTTAGATTCCCATGGTCCCGACAAAGTCACCTCACTAGGCATTTTTCCTAAATGGGAAGGGTGTAGTAAAGAGCAGAAAGAGAAAAACAAGTCCATTAACATGTACATTCATAAGGTCTTTAAAATTTGAAAGTAGGAAATGTGTGAGACCACCTAGTCCAGCATTGCCTCTGAGAAGGACACCAAAAGATGATTCGAGGAAGGGCATAATCACAAGAAGTCACCCTTTATTGCTGATCAAAGGCTCTCAAGTCATGGTGGCCTTGGCATAGCCTTATTTCTCAAATTATAGCTCAGAGCAGGGGGTATGTGGCTTTGGGGTTGGGGATAATCATTCAGCCACTCAAAGACCCATTTCCATCCATCTTGTGACTCAGCTGAACCCTACATCTTCAGTCTTCTCCATTCACCCAGCAGATGGGGAAAGAAGAGAATTGCCCACTTCCATGATGGTCCATTCCAGAACCCAATCCCATGACCTCATCTAACTGCAAGGGAGGCAGGACAATGTGCCCAGGAGAAAGAGACTGACGTGAATACTGGCAAGCATCCAGCTTCCTTGAAGATGCCCCAGGAACCTTCTTTTCATGAAAGAAAGTTTAAAATCATGTGTCTGTTCTGGCCTTTCAGTAGCTCCCCAAAGCACTTGTGTTGGGATGATTCTGAAGCAGATCGGACCCAGGATGAGCAGTGGAGAATTCTGGGTCCGATTAGTAAAATATGCCTTGGGCATCAGGAATGACACCTCTTGTGCAACATATTTTTACTTCTCACTTGAGCCCCTTTTTGAAACCGAAGGTAAGCCTGTCCTACCTCTGAGGATGTTAACTTGCAGAATTTTCCACTCCTGTAGTAAAAGTAGCATGAAACTGGGAGTCACAAGATCTGAGGTGGAATTCACTTTCTCTAGTTAATAGCTATGTGAACTTAAGACACTCCTTTTAAAAATATATATATATTTTATTGATTTTTTTTTACAGAGAGGAAGGGAGAGGGATAGTTAGAAACAACGATGATGTGAATCACCCTTCCCCCCACTGGAATGCCCTTGACTGGAATCAAACCTGGGACTTTTCAGTCTGCAGGCCAACACTCTATCCACTGAGCCAAACCAGTCAGGGCTCAAGCCAGTCTTTCATCTCCCTGAACCTCCCACCTGCCTAACTTCCTGCCCGCCTGCCTCACAGCGATATGGAGAGAATCAAATGAGACAATGTACTTGAAACTGCCTGCAAATACTAAAGTACAATGCAGCCAGAATGCGTTATAATAACTGCAATTTATAGTCCTCAATCTCTTTCAAGCTTCAAGAGGTTTTAGTAAAGTGAGATGCGATGATTAGGTGCTTACGTACACAAGAACAAAAATTGTCGTATCTCATCAGGACCATGGCTCATTAAGCTCAATGTTGTCATTGGCAGAGATACTCAAAGGTAGGCGGAAGGCTGCGGTTATTGTCCTTGATGTCAACTTCAAAGGATAAGTGACAAAACCCAACATGTTCTGATTTCCTTTTATTCATCA